ACTCTAATGGAAGACTACAGATAATAAAAGAAAAATAAAACAGGGAAGGGAGATGGGACATGTCAGAGGAGGGGAGGCTTGGAAGTAAGAGGGGTCAGGGAAGAGTCTGGGGACATCTGAGCAAAGACCTAAACAAAAAATACTGTAAACTATGTGGGTAACTGAGGGACCAGCCTTCTGTACAGAGGAAACAGCAATTGCAAAGACCCAGGGTAAGAGGGAGCCTGCTATCAAGTGTGTGTGTGTGGCCCAGTATGACCACACCTTACAGGTAAAACTAAATTAATTTCCTCTGGATGTTGCATTAATCCTTCAGACCATTAGGTTGTGAAAGAAGTTACAGTTCTAGTATATTCAAGCTGCAAATGAGGAAAGAATCTAGATAAGGTAGGGTTTTTATGATATTAGTTGTAACAGTACCTTGTAGGCCTAACAATATTTAACCAAGAGGTTTACCTTAATGGCACTTCTCCAGACTTAATGGCATAAAGGGTAGATTTATAAAATTGGGCTCCCTGGTATCTAATGACTTATTTAAGGTCACATTAGTCTGTGTCATTGAGAATGGAACTTGAGGCGACCAAATCCCAGTGTGATGACACAACTACTCTTCATTAATGTAGCAACTACTAATAAATACTAAGATAGAATCAGAACTAATAAGTGGAACAGTTGGTGATTTTTTTTTTAAGTAATAAATGGTCTAGAAAGGCAAATGAATATTCCCAAAGACCCTTGCTTACACTTAAGAAGTAGCCGGCACTAACATGTAATGAGCATTATGATTTTTTGCTTTAATATTTATCCATACATATTGTTAAATTCAATAACACTTGTTAAAACCACAGTAAGGAAGACTTAAGAGACCAGCGGCTATCACTATAAGTATAGGGACCACTGCAGTGGGGAGAGAGCTTGGGCTCAACTCCCAATAAAGCAGGGGGAAGTGGGAATTTACGGTTAAGAAATAGGGTAGGTTCAGTGGATGGAAAATTACTAAGAGTAATTTATCAGGAGTAAGGGAGATTCTGGCTAAACCAACATAACAGGATTCTTGCTAAACACAGGCGAGGGTGATTAGACATCACCTGGGAGATTGCGAAAGATGAGGAACCCAATCAGATACTGAAGTAGGAGGTTCTGACTAAAATGAGTTAGCAGGGTTCTTGCTAAAACTGGATTTTATAAGGAAGACACGAACAGATGGGACTAAGTGAAGGTTTAGAAGCCTGACTTAAGTTTGGTCAAGCAACAAATCATTGTGAATATCAAGTAGCTTTTATGCAGCTTTCACATATTTAGAAATTCTATTATCATCTTATTGCTAGATTAAAATAAGGATTACTAAACTTTTTGCAAAATCATGTTGAAGGAAAAATCTTACTTAATAGTAACCCTTGCTAATCAAATCCGAAGACAAAGAATTATTTAAGTTAGGTCCTCCCTAAGGCTGTGAACTTCCTGAAAGAAGAAACCAAACTGTTTTACCATTATTGTTCTCATCATCATCTCATGTGACAATATTTAAGTGCTTAATATGTTCTAAGTAATGTACTAATCATCCTATTTTATCCTCTGAACAAGCTTATGAGGTAGGCATTAATATTTCCTTTTTCTCGATAAGAAAAGTGAAGCAGAGAGAAGTTAAATAACCTGACTCAAGATTACACGGTAAGTGGCAGAGCTAGGATATGAACCCATGTAGTTTGCTTGAAGGTCTTCTAAACTCTGTCTCCCTTTTCATTTTTGTGTCCATTGCTTAGAAGAGTATCTGGTGTGTGGCCAGTTAACAAATATTTATTGAGGAAGTAAATTTAAGGAACTATTTTACCAAAACAAATAATAATAATAATAATAATAATAATAATAATACATCTCAAGCAGCTTACTGACGTGGAAAGTACATTGCATGAGAAATCAGGAAATTTGAGTTACAGACCTGGCTGTGCCATTAATATGAAAGCATCTTGTCAATATCTCAGCTTCTTCATCTGTTGAACTAAGGATGCTGAACTAAGTTTCCTTCAGTTCTACAACCTACTGCTATCCTACCATCAATTTATTTCCTGTATTTTATGCAAATAAATCATACAAAATTTAATGCATACAAATGAATTATGCAAATTTAAGGAGAAAAGTCCTAATATGTCAGAATCTCTTTAAAGTTTGTTTTATGTAAGAGATGAGTGAGAAATAAAACATCTTTTAAAAAAAATCAAAAGGAAAGGGATTAAGAAATACAGATTGATAGTAACAAAATAGTCACAGGGATGCAAAATACAAAGTAGAGAATATAGTCAATAATGTTACAACAACTATATATAGTGCTGGGAGTTACTAGACTAATCAGGAATATCACTGAATAAATTATATAAATGTCTATCCACTATGCTGTATACCTGAAGTTAATATAAAATAATATTAATGTCAATTGTATCTGAAAAAATAATTTTAAAATATCAGAAGAATTTTCAGCGGAATTTAAATACCATTAAAGACATTAAATATATACAAAATATTCTTTTTAAACAGAACAAGAAAAGGAAGTTTACCAGAACAATAATGTTCAACAATATTAACTTAACAAATGAGGTTTCCGGCATGAGTTAGCTCTTTTTGCTTCCTTTAGACAGTTCTGTATGAATCGAGGGATAGTTTGAGGGGATCATGGGCCTAAATTTCTCAAGCTAATATAGAATAGAATTTTCTTACTAATGAAAGATACAAATAAATTAGTTTGATATCAGCAACCTACACTTACTTGGACAAACAAGATAATGTAATTTATTTAAGGCACTATTTTTTTATTTTTTTAATGATTTTATTGGGGAATTGGAGAAGGGGAACAGACAAGTTGCTGTCCTTTTGTTCTCCAGTCTAGTTATGGAGGACGTCGCTTCACTGGCCCATGTTGCTGTTGTGATCATTGCGCTCTTCCCGGCTGATGCAGTCGCCAGCCATTGGACAGCCATTCACGGTGGCTCACGGCAGTTCACACCGGCTGCCGGCAGCTCACACTAGCTGCCAGCCACTCACAGTAGCTTACGGCAGCCCACTGCAGCCTACACTGTTGCTGGCGACTCACAGCAGCCCAGCTCCAGATCAAGCTGTTGTTCACCATCTTATCTGTAGAGGGCGCAGCGCCACTGGCCCGCATGAGAGATCCGAAGCGGGGCCCTGCTGCTCAGAGCTGGTGCTCCCAAGCCAACTCCTAACCAACGCTCCACTCGGCAGGCGCAAGGCACTATTCTTAATTTCTTTTTCATTATAGGCCCTGTGTAAGGCAACAAACCGTCTCCAAAAAAGGTAAAATCAAACAGAAATTTGCATATCATTTTAGGGTGTTCATAGACTCTTTAGAGTCTACAGATTACTGTGACAATCTGAATAAATTAGGTAAAGGGTAAGATATTCACAATGGTTGTTTAGAAAGCCTACAGTATTAGTTTCTTTATATACGAGGTGTGATCATCAAGTATGGTGAATGTTTAAATACAAAGTTTATTACAGTAAAAGACACATTGCCATTAATCTGCCTCAGAATACTCCCCCTCGCTTCAAACACACATCCCATGGTTCTTGCCACTTTCTGAAGCAGTTCTGGAAGTCCTCTTTCATGAGTGTCTTTAGTTGCGCTGTTGTGGCTGCCTTGATGTCCAGAATCAATTCAAAATATTTAACTTTTATGGTCATTTTGACTTTGGGGAAGAGCCACAAGTTGCACCGGTGCCATATCCGGTGAATAAGGTGGATGAGGACACACTGCGGTGTTTTTATTTGACAGAAATTGCCATACCAGAAGTGATGTGTGACATGGAGCCTTGTCATGATGGAGGATGAAGTAAAGACACTCAAGAAAGAGGGCTTCCAGAGCTGCTTCAGAAAGTGGCAAGAATGATGGGATAAGCATGTTTGAAGCAAGAAGGAGTATTCTGAGGGGGATTAATGGCAATGTGTCTTTTACTGTAATAGATTCTTTTAAATTTAAACATTCACTCTATCTTTTGACACACCTCGTATATCGACATTTAATGTATTCATCTTATAATGAAAGCACATTTTCTTTGATTAATCCCTACAAATTCTTCTTAACATCTGTTATAGCATGGTGCTTCAACATTATATCATGTTTGAAGCTAAGTCAGGCAGCAAGGCAGTTGTCTCATTCTTTTCTCCAACCAGCATTACTCAAGGAGGAACCAGTCAGGGGCAGATCACTAGTAGGCACCTGAAAGCTCTGCAGCTGAGTTCAGAGATTGTCACAGCCCAGTCAAGACTGTGAACCAAGCTGACTGTCCTTTCCTATGACCCCTCTTCTCCCTTCCTTGGGAATGTCATCCATGTTCACCTGCCTGCCTTTATTCAGTACACGATAGCAATCTGTCATAGCAGAGAGCATTGCCCTCAGATACAGGATGTCTGGGTTCTGCTTGAGTTTCTGCAACTGACGAGCTGTGCTGCCTTTTCAAAGGGTTAATTAAAACCTTTGATCATCCAGGGCCAAATAATAGTGGAGGTCAAATACTACTCCACACTACTCTCTGGATTTAAAGTTTTGATCCTAAAACTAATTTACACTAAAGAATTAGTAACAATATATTATCTCTACAGCATTTTAAAAAGAAGTCAAGATAGAGGACAACAATTACTACAAAACTGACTCTCTGATGATGAACTCTAGGGTATTAGTTACCGTCTCTTTATTAGTATCCCAAATTGAACTGTTTAACAGCTCTTATTCTTCTAACACCAAGCAACTTGCTCCTTCCTCCAGAATGGTACTGTGAATTTTACACTCTGAAAATTTTCTATTATTTAAATTAGCATTTAGCTTTTGGGTCAGTCTTTTCTTAAGTAATATTTTCAAAAGTACTCATAGGTCCTATTTATTTTTTAAAACATCATTAAAATACATGAGTTGTGTAAATCTGATCAATACAGATCACACACCGTTTTACAAGATCAACAAGTAGAAGGTAAAGACAAACCTGGAAGCTTACCTGCGAGGCCGCTAGCATTTCCAGTTTGTGAAGTCTCTGCAGGACATTCTGCATGTCCTCCTGCAGTCGCATGAGCACGAGAGCGATCTGCTCATTGAGGCTGCCTCGCGTCCCTCGGTCGGAACCCCAGCGTTCCCCGTCACCTCCACTTCCCACTTGCCAACCCTTGGTTCCTTCGCTCAAATGTTGCATCCTTTGCCCTATTTTAAGACAGCAAAACAGGTTAGTTGTAAATTATTCTTATAAAAGTAGAAATAGTGTGTTTTATTCATTTTCCTCTGTTATTTGAGATCTAAATCTTCAAAGTGAAATTGAAGTAATCAGGAAGTGCAAAAAATAAATTATTGGGATCAAAAAGTGGATTTGGAAACTTCTATTTATACTGATATATTCTTAGATTTTTTTCCAAAAGGTTTTATAATGTACTTAATGTACTAGTACATGACTAAATGCGTATAATTCACAAATAATACATACATATTCAGGGTGCACTCTCAAAATTTTTTTACTAAATAAGGTAACAAGATTGACAAAATTTGAAGACTGTTTCTTTAGAGTATTAAAAGCTACACTTAAGGGCTGGCCAAGTGGCTCAGTTGGTTAAGAGCTCACTCAAGAGTGCAAACTCTGAGCAACAGGGTCGTCGGTTTGATTCCTGGCCTGAGCTGAGCTGCCGCTGAGCTGCCAACAGGCAGCAGGATGGCACAGCTAAAAAGAAAAAAAAAGATACACTAAATAGCTGTATTTTCCTTTTTGGTCATTGGAAGCCTCCCAAAATGTTTTGAAATGTTTTTATTATCGTAAATTCCATTACACTTACAGAGATATTGAAATATCATTACTTTTAAGATTTTATTATATATCCATCCATTTTTTCTACACATACTCATAGATTTATAGAATTGGCATTACCCCTTACATGTGATTTTGTATCCTACTTTTTAAAAATACTGTAAACATTTATCTGCGTCACTAAGTTCTATTCCAAAAACATTGAAATGGCTACATAAATTGCCTAGTAAGATATGAAGTAATTTACTTGATCATTCTTCACTTCTGGATGATTCCAAATCTGCGATTACAAATAACATTGCAATGAATGTTTTTGTATATAAATATTCGTCCGAACTTCTGCTGATTTCTTTAAGACAGATTCAAAGAAGTACTGGGTCAAGGGATAACAACTTGGTCAAGGTTCTCAATGAGTGTTACCAAGTTTTTTTTCAGAAAGGCTGAAACAGTGTTATCCTGCAGCATATAAAAGGTACTACCATGTGACCCTACCCTCGCAGAAATGGAATATTACACATTTTTACATTTGCTAATATAATGAGTCTGTTTTGTTTTAAATAATAAACAGGCAATTATCTACC